AAATTCCCTTAACAAATTAGAGCTGTGAGACTTGATTTTATACCAAACATAACAACATGGTTTGCAGAGCCAAAAAAATAGAATTAAAACCAAACAGAATCTGGTTAATATTCCAAAAGAAATCAAATGGTAAGTCAATTTGGTGGGCCAAACATAGGGGAGATATCGATCAGTGGCACAGCGTTTATACATCAACAAGAAACCAAACAAGGACTGAAGTATGGGGTAGAGTTTCTCAGTGAAGTTACAGCCAGTAAACAGGAGTAGATGGAGAGCTTGCAGAATCTACATCATCAAAGGAGACCAAGAACCGCTCCCTCAATAATCGACAAACACCCCCCCACCTTCTTCAGCTTTGAACTTTAGAGAGGAAGGACACCAAAAAGGAACCAGCAAGAGCTTTGTACCAGTCCATTCTCAAAACCAATACAGTCGCAAAAAGCCATTTCTTAGGCTCTGCAACACCAAACCCGAAGGCCGACCGTCGCAGAAAAGCAGTCGACTGATCAGTCCGGCTCACGCTCCTCGACTCGGTCAAAAAAAGCCCCGAAACACACCAAAAAACCGACGCTAAACTGGAAAAGCGTACGTTCTGAGCGCATGCGCGAGGCGAAAAGTCCCCATGACAAGCAGGCGGCGCTAATCGCTGGTTTGTCCGGCCAAAAAAAAAAAAAGTGGTAAAAAACGGAAATGACAAGTCACTCTACAGACCTAGTAAACAAATAGCAAACGCTGTCCGTCAGTTCAAATCGTTTTCATCAGAGAGTGTTTTGATAGTGATTCAAAGAAGGATCGTTATTTGTCAATTGAACCCCGCTGAACGGGAGAAAAATATGACTCGGCTAATAATCACAAGATACTTGGCATTCTTTACCCAATCGTCACTTCCGGTTTTCTCCGGCACTCACTGGATCGCTAAGTCCCAAGGCTTAACACTCCCACCAAATCAGGATTGGTCACTGAGGTCGACGGCAAAAAGTGGCCGATTCTACATGTCGAATCGGCCAAAATCGAATAGCGACGCCGACCCGAAACTGATCGACGGCACGGGAAACCACCCGAACCCGACTCGAGCCACCGACCTCGCCTGACTGTCCGTACGACGTCCGACGGCCGAGTAATACGGGTTGTGTCGCGGAAGGCCTTTTAAGGACACCTGATTTTCCTTCCCCTATGAACTGATTCTTTGGCTACTCCTAGAAATCCCAACTCCAGTCTTCTTGTTAACATTAACTCTCAAAATAGTGTTAGGTAAAATATTTTAAATAACAATACCAAGTGCTGTATTATATCAAGAAACAATGAGTGTTTTTTAATAATACTTTAACATAAGTTGTTATGATGGCGCTCCCAACTCACGACAATAATTTTTGCAACTTAAGGGTGTGGTTTGGTTACACATACGGTTTTGTTGTTGTTCAAAGACTGCACAACCCCAAGGGTGGTAAATTATAAACCGACAGCAAATGGCTCTTTATTGTGAAGGGAGTTTAAACAGCAGGAGAGGCAGCCGCAGGGTTCTTTCCCTTCCCCCAGGTTCCTGACCCCTTCCGATTGAGACCCGGAGCAGAGGATGGCCAAAAATCCAGGGGAGCTAAGTCTAAACCAAAACGGCTTCCTCCCCAATTCTGACAACTTCTAGACCGAAATAAAAAGCACAACAATCTCTCATAAAACAAACAACTCGTATACCTGTAAAAGTTAGGCACTTCTTTATTCTGGGACGTTGGCTTGACAGCAAAGACTTTTGCCTCATCTCCTTAGAGGTCAGTGAACTGTGGTTTTCAGAAAACCAAAGAGAGTCATGTTACATGTTCGTTCTTAAAATTCCTCAATGCTCAACATACATTTTCTAAAAAACTGGAACTTCTGACTTCGAGTTCTCCCTTATTGCAAGTCAACGAACGCCGCTACACCAAATTGGTGGGGTACCCAAAACGTGATTTTTGCAAAACAAACGGAAGAAGGAATTGGTTTCGCGTCTTTCGCGACTGAAGATTTTCAGCGGAAAACAAGGCCCCGGACTCCGACCCCCTCCCGCCACTCAACGGACGCGCTCAACAAAAAGAGGTAAGCAGAAGAACCTGTTTGAAATAACAAATTCCGCAAATTGGCCATCACTAAATTCCACTGCAGTGATGAAGAGGAAACGGAGGAATACGGTGCGTGCCAAAGTGTGCTAAAAACGTATTGTAATGTGTTTAATAATATGGCTGCATGTTTGAGATGTGATGTGGAGAATTAAAAGAAAGAGCTTCAAAGAAGAAGAGTAGAAAGCGCAAGAAATGTGACGTTAAACGCCCTCACAAGCAATCAGGCGCTTGTGGAGTAATAAGTGATTGGAGGTAACGGTGATCTTTGACCGCGGCCTAAAGACCGGTGATAGATGCCCTGAATTGACACACCAACGAAGAGCCATAAATCCGCGCCTGACAGGAAAATCGCACGGTGCAGCTGGCTGCCTGCAGGTGACACCAAAAAAAAGGCCCCGCAGATTTGTGAGAGGTTGCCTTTGAAATGCAGTAAGGGCCTGAGGTGTGATGTTTTGAAAAAATTTCTGTAGATCCTGGATGCACGAGCTAATAGGTGTGAAATTTGAGACGCTGTGTGAAGAACTGGTGCCTTATAACGCAGCCTTCACCGGGGCTTCGCAGGAAGTTTATGATCCCTTTTGGCACGATTTCTTCCTAAAGTGGTCAGCCGCCTACCAAAATTAATAAATTTGACAAAAATTGTGTAGGCGGGGGGGGGGGGGGGGCGGTACTTCAGCTAGTGGTGACTCCAGTCACGTACTGGCTAGGTCTGAGTAACAGTAGTATGGAAGATTGATGCACGACGTTGCCAGAGCATTTTTTGTTTTTTAGTTTAGGAAAAGTGCACGTAAACTTTGGTGTTGGATTGATAGAGATTAAGAAGTGTGAGATGTGCAGAAGAGAATGTGTGGTGTGGTTGGATAAAAAAAAAAAAAGTTAAAAGTAATTAACCTTAAGTAAACTATGGGAGACGTGATTGCATTGAGTAGCGCTGGGAGGAGAAGCACTCCAGTAAACGTTTGGCCTGCCTGTTGTAATATAATGAAGACAAGTGGAGTAAACTGAGACTTTGGAGATTGGAGCAAGAGACCCGCGTCCACCGCGAGCGGTTTGTTTGTTGAATGTTGAAAAAGTGTTACTTCATGTGTGGTATCAGGACAGTGTTTACAATTTGTGGCATAATTGATCATTAAGGAAATTTTGTCGAGACGTTGAATTTTTCATCTATGAGAAACTAATGCAGTTCGTGGTTGGCGTCAGTGTGAGTCGTTGAGGAATGTGGGAAGTGTAAGTGGTAATTGTCGCTAGGCGTGTGGCAGCAATTTTAAACATGTTACCGGAGCACGGGCAATATTGAAAAGGAAAAAATGGAAGAGGACGAGGTCACTGCTGAGAGTTGTGGTGTGGGACATTGTTCATTGTAAACAATGACTTAGTTCACTGCCAACACTGCGAAGCTGTGTATAAAGTACAACACGGGCCGACGACTCAAATGATCTGGTACCACGTTGAACGAACGCTCACCGGACGCCTGTTAGGTGCGGTGCCATCCGTGCTCTCAGTCTCCTAGCATGCGACGTCGATGTTAGCACGACACGGAGGAGTTGGCTGTTGTATGAGCGCACCGGCTTCTAGCTGTAGGCTCCACTGCTTTAGAGCACAGTAGCGCATATCAAGTGTAACCATTGAACAGATCCGGTTTAACTGCCACAAGAGTTGTTCATCTTGTAATAAAGATCTCAATAAGAAAAACACGCTGTGTTTTTGTATGTTCATTGCATTTTGAATATAGCATATAAACAGTGAATTTTAATATAAAAATATTAATGATTAATTAAAAATCGATCATTAATTCTCCCGACTATCGACTAAGACAATTTAATTGAATGCCCATCACTAATTGTGACCGGTCTACTTGTTGGGTTGTCCTATTTGTTGCAATGGGGATGGATATTTTCAAAAAATACTCAGCAGGTAATTGGATTGTTTATCACTGTCTGTCACAGGCAAACTTGAACCAATCAGATCAATGAACCATATAACGTAGTCAAACTCTTACTGAAGTCAGCCAGGAGAAGAGAGTAAACATCTTTTCCAACAAGAAAAGCTTTCAGTGTCGTTCTTTGCTCTTCTTTCAATTAAGAAATACTCTCCAGTTCTGATAGAATTGATGTCAGGCTAACCTCTTTAGCAGCTGCCAACAGTCACTTCTCACACACATTTAGTATTAAACCACGCCTGTGGCTGCCAGTTGTTCCTCATAGGACACTGATTGGTCCGAACCACTGTGGTGTTGTAGCTTGAAGCCTGGCAACCTTGTCAGCATCCACACAATAAATAACAGTGTTGTTTATCATTCAAACAGTGTCACACATGTGATTGAGTTGTTAACATAATACAAATGCTTGATTATTGTTAAACCACGGGTGATGCTTAAAATGTAAAACAAATAAATCATAACACAATGCTTTCCCCCACATAATAGTACATCAACTGCTTCCTTTGGCTGCTGAAAAGCTGATTTTTTTCACAGATTGAGTACCGTCCTCATGTACTACTACTGTCCAGGAGTATAAGGTGAATATCAGTATTCAGGTGGAATATGACAAAAAGTTATTTTAATAAAAAGGGTTTGACCTACTGCAGCTTTAACAGTGCCAGTATTGATTTTTGTGATACGGGCCCTCTTATAGCATGGTATCGGTTCTGAAGCAAATGTTGTGGTTATTTCCCACCTTTACAGCACATAACAACAGTAGGGAACAGTGACAAGGACTGCAGTGCATTGGACACTGGACATTGAGAGAAAAATTAGGGAAGATGTGTGTAATAAAACATTTGATGCACATAATTCATCATCTTTCAAAGTTTCAGTGATCCAGTCTGTCCTCAGCTGTAGAACACATTTTGAATTGTATGCCTGTCTTACTGTCATATATGCTCATTTCCCTGTCTGTCTCTTGCTTTCAGATCTGAAGAGGGAGGCCAGCATCTGCCACATGCTGAAGCACCCCCACATTGTGGAGCTGCTGGAGACGTACAGCTCAGATGGGATGCTCTACATGGTCTTCGAGTTGTAAGTCTCCTCCCAGCGAAGATTCCGCTAAACATACAAGCTACATCAGAAACACACACAACGGTGAAGAAAGTAATTGTACCTGGAGGAGATGTGTCACAGAGGGGGTGTGAAGATGAGGTGGCACTGGGAAATAAGGACGTAGAGCAGGGTGATAGTAAGGAAGGATGGCAGTGTTAGGAGGGCGGTTGCAGCAATAGCAGGACAGAGAGAAAGCCTGTGGTGGTTTTATATAATCAGCACTGATATGAGGAAGCTTGTTAGCTGAGGGTGGGGGTGGGGTAAGAGAAAAGGAAGGGTGAGTGCTGTACTTTATATATAAAAGGAGAGAGATGAGATTAAGATTTCACACTTGCTGCTACCTCCAGTTTTTTCGCAAAGCCACGCCTTCCCCGAGCTCCTCTCCGCCTGCTCCGTATCTTCATCTTTCCTCCTCTTCCAGAACTAATTCCTTTATCATTTAATTCCGTTATCGCTGAACAGGCAAGCGCTCAGCTTTTCATGCGTGGTTCTATCACACAGCTTGGCGCAGGGGAGAAAGCTTTCAAGGAAATGCAAGTGAGCTACATTTTTAAATGTTCACGGTCTTAGAGCACAGACTTCTGTTTTGCGCACGAATGGGAGTACAGGTATATTTAAGATGTTCTTCGAGTGGTGCAGAGCAGATAACTGAGTAAACATGGTAGATAAATGTGTCTCCCTCCTGGCTAGTCAAGCAGGTTCAGATGTGTGCTTCGTGAGGTGATAGGAGCGGAGAAAATACGGACGTCCTGCAGCCGAGTCCTACATAACAGCCCTGTTGAATTGGTGCAGAGGCTTAGTGACAATAAAGAGTAAATTTCAGTAATTGGGGAAAGAATAAGAGCAGAGCAATTATGAGAGACAGAGTTGGCTGTGGCTAAATGAATGGGTCATAATTAAGTGCGTGTGTATCTGAGGATTGGATTCAGTCCACCACGTGTGTGTGGCAGTAAACAACCAGCTATATAGGATGGAGGCAGTGTGCAAGAGGCCCTAATGGCCGTGCTTTGAAAGTAGGTCCCCAGCAGCTTATTGATTGCGAGGTACACTTTTCTGTGCGTTGAGACGTGCTGTCACCTCTGGCTAGAAGCCGGTTTTAACTGGGCTGAGAAGCTGTCATTGTTAGAGCCTTATCTTTATTGTAAATTACTCCGGAGGATTTTATAAACACAGAAGCATTAAATCTCACCGTTCCAGCAACAGCTTCTCCTCCTGAAGACTCAGTCAACTACTACTTACTGTGCAGCTGCAGCACTGTGTACAGATATTCTCAATCTCTGAAACACTTCCTTCTGTGTTTGGCTAAAGTTTTAAAACATTGACTTAATAATACGTTTATTAAAAGAATATAGCCTCAGGCGACTGTTCCAGGCTTCAAGCCAACACAGATCATTCGAAATTTCCAAATAGTGGGGCGCATGGTAGCTTACCTGGTACAGTGCGTCCCCCCATGTAGGCCTTACCGCAGCAGCCAGGTTCAATTCCAACCTTTTTTTGCTGCATGTCATCCCCTCTCCCTCCTCCTTTTCCTGTCTATCTTCACGTGTCCTATCAAAATAAAGGCATTAAAAGTAGGGATGGGCATGATTTAATCGATTAATTGATCATTAAGAA